TCTCTCTCTCTCTCTGTCTCTCTCTGTCTCTCTCTGTCTCTCTGTCTCTCTGTCTCTCTCTTCCCTTCTCTCTGTCACATATTCACTCACCACAGACACACACACACACACATACACACACACACACACACACACACACACACACACACACACACACACTCACACACACATACACGTACACTCGCACTCGGTTGTGTTTACGTTTAGCTAATAATAAGATAATGAGCCCAATATCTTTTCACCGTGTCTTTTGATTGACACGCCTTAATTATCTTCCACTTTATGGGAATTTAACCCCCCCCCCCCTTGCTCAGCGTGGTCTTGGGCTTGTCAGAAGGTGATGATCACAAATCAATTGATGACATCCACAGGCAAATTGGGGGAAAAAGGTCGGGGTGGGTATGATGTCCCCGGTTTGTCAGTGTCAGCTGACTCCAGAGATTCAGCTGTTGTCTGTTGAGGATCCGATGTTGTTTTGGGGGGATTCTCCTTTCCGAACAAACCTTGTAGGTTCCTGAGGATGAGGATTGTGCGAGAGTAAACTCATAGGTTTGACGTCACTTAGAACACTATGAAGTTATGTATGAGGCGGGCCCTAAACATTAACGCCCGTCTCCAATAGGACCATGAGGATTATGCAATTGCAGCAAATGTGTTCACAGCCATTACTTTTCTTAGTTCACTCAGCTGCAATTAGGCACATAGCCACCAGCAGAGATGCATCAGGTGAACGACAAAGACTCAGCCTGATAGGCTGAAACGATATAAATATGCCTGATACTTTAAATAAAATAAAGTATCTGACTTTAAGAAATTGTTCTGTTATAATAATAATAAATAGTATTAGGATTTGCATAGAGTATGATAATATTATGTTCCGCGCCATTTACCAATCGGCGCAATCTTGCGCGTATTAACGATCGTATAATTGAGCGGCAATCTTAAGATTGCGCCGCGCGTTTTAACGATCGTAAAATTGCACTGTTGGGTCAAGTTAATAATTGCGCTAAATTTTTTTATATTTTTGAAATAATAATAATAATAATTTAAAAAAAAATCGACTTCATCTTTATTCTTTTACGCACATTAAGGAATACTCACATATATTTTCAAAAGTGTGAAAATACAAAAAAAATTAAGATTAAAATTAAAATTAACGTATCAAACTGAAGAGCTCACAAGAATGATACAACGCCAGGTATCAATCTCAAAGTTTACAAAGTAGGCTATACATGTATATATTTTATTTCATATAAAAAAAAAAAAATCTTATTCACTTCCATCTTTATTCTTAATTTTCTCACATTAAGGAACATTCATATATTTTCAAAAGTGTATATGTATGAAAACTGAAATTAAAATTAGCATAAAAAGTAAAATATCAAACTAAAGAGCTCACAAGAATGATACAATTATTTATTGTACGATCGTTAAAACGCGCAGCGCAAGATTGCGCCGATTAGCAAATTACTATGCATGCACTTATTGTTGAACATGAAGTGGCAACATTCGCTACCTCAGAATTACAAAGATTTATCTGCTCAGGGCCTAATTTTGATGAATTTGACGTCAAAGATTTTGAGTTGCACATCATGTCAAGCTTTTTTGAATACAATTATTTGAATAATTCACACACACATATATATA